AAGATAATCAATAAGAGCAAATAAGCTGGCACTCAGGACACTAACGCAGGCCTGTCTCGAGTTTAAAACCAGCCTGGCCACGTAGGTGAATTTAAAGGGCAGCCTGCACTACATGGCAAGACCCTGCCTCCAAAAAAATAAAAAGAAAAAAGAAAAAAAAGAAAAAGGAAAAGGAACAAGAAACTATTAATAATATTTTTTCCCAAGTATAAACAGTAAGGTTAAACAAATTCTTGGTTTGTTGACCTTCAGCTTGAGATAGAGCTATTCTTTCCACAGCCTGAGACAAGTTGTTTTTGTCTTTAACATGGGACATTTTCTTTTTTGACATTTTCTATTCTTTTGCTTATTTTTATTTTTATTTTTTTTTCAGAACCGGGGATTGAACTGAAGCCCTTGCACTTGCCACGGAAGCACTTATTCTACTGAGCCATCACCCCAGCCCCTTTCTATTCTTTTGTATCGTTTGTTTCTGAAAGAAGGTCTCTCTAGGTTGTTCAAGCTGATCTTGGACTCACATTACCTCAGGCTGGCCTCAAATTTATGGTAAATCTCCCGCCTCAGCCTCTCAAATCCTGGGATTATAGGTGTGTGTCCCCACACCCAGACACCATTTTCTACTATGTATTTTTGTTGTTGTTTGGTCTTTTTTTTTTTTTTTTTTATTACTTTCCACAAAGCTTTATTCCAGAGGGGCTCAGTTTTTCTTGGCAGCTGTCAGCACGTTGCTCAGCTCCTCATGCTTCCTGTGTGTGTCCCCACCCTTTTCTTGATGAACTTGAGGACGCATTTGTCCTTGGAGACTTTGAGCAGCTCAGTAGGGGGCAAAATCACACACCTCCCGGTTCATGTCCCACATGAACTTGGTGTGTTTGGTGAGGCATACACAATGGAAGCCGTGCCTTGGTTTGCTCACATTCTTAAGTCACCTTGTGGCCCTTGTTGAGGCCTACAGCCATGGGAAAGTGGAGGGCCATGGCTACTGTTCTTCGATGACTGCTGGGGCCGAAGGGGGTTTTGTTGTTGTTTTGGGAAGGAGGTCTTTCTGTTTATTTTTTGAAATAGGGACTTGCTATGTAGTTCAAGGTGGTCTTGAACTTGCTCTGTTGCCTGGACTAGTCACAAACAGCAATCCTTAAGAAGACTCAGTCAGTGCTGGGATTAAAGGTATATATCACCACACCCAGCCTATTCTGTTCTATGCTATTTATTGCTGGGACAGGATCTCACTAAGTAACCCAGACTGGCCTTAAGCTCACTATATAGTCTAGGCTAGCTTCATGCTTGTGCCACTTCTCCTGCTTCAGCTTCCCAAGTACTGAGATTACAGGCATATTCCATCATGATCAGCTCTATTCTATTTTTAATAAATGTTGTTAATAAATGTTGTTTTCTTTTTTTTATGTTGTGTTTTCTTCAGATTCTATTTTTGTCTATTTGACATCCATTATCTACAGGATAAAAGTAAAAGCCAACATCTTCTCTGTGATCCAAAGACTACAGTCTGAACCACTTCTTCTACCTCATTCTCATATACCAATCCCCAATTTCTCCAGCCTTAAATCAACCCAGACAATAGGGAACAGGTTGCAGGTCACAAGGCCTGTTTAAATTATTTAAAATAGCCACTATGTTCTGTCTTGCCTTTCCTGTGGCCCACATCCTCCCTTGGTTCCTTTCTACTTCCTGACAGACTCCTATTTCTAGGGAAACTGTAATGTCAAACTTTTCTTTCAAAGGTACTGATCTTTCCATGCTATCAATAATACAGTCACTTTTATAAATCCAGACCTGGGCACAAATCAATAAGGAAGACAATGCTCCAGGGTGATAACCATTTACACATATGGCAGCAGAACATCGGGTTTTAGGACTGGCCAAATAGTTCAGTGGATTAAATTGCCTGCTTAGGCAGACGCAGGGGCTGGGTTTTGATTCCAGGCCTGCTGTGCTGGACCCGCCCCCAGGGCATGCTGAGGCAGCGACTGAGACTGGGCGTGGTTGCCCGTGCCTGTAATCCCAGCTCATGGAAGGTTGAACACACATTGATCACTACGAGTCCGATTTATGTGGTGAGACCCTGTAGGCTCTGTACTAAAATACAAAAAATAAAAAATAAAAAATTGGGTTTTAAGTGCTTCAATATCTTACCTTCCTCTGAAGTAACAAGTTCTGCAGATCATGTTACAGGACTTTAACAGAATGGTAAGAAAATGAGGCAGAAGAGAAAAGATGACCTGTCAGCAAGTCAGCCTCACAACTCCCAATACCTTAAATAGGTAGGGAGTAAGTAACAATTCCTATTTCAATACTTGTCAACAACTATATAAGTCTTTTGAAAATGAGTAGACTTCTGTCTTACATTGAACACTCAATGATATAATTTTCCCTGGAACATTTAGAGCTTATAATTCAGTTGCTTGCTCCAAAGGTGTATATACTATATACAAATACACTGCTTAGGATATATATATTTTTTAACTTAACCACTTACCTAATTACTGTCCCAGTGATCACTTCAGGAGTACATATAATAAAATTATTACTGTCTCAAAGATAGGGGCTTACATTTTAAATGTTTTACAAAGTCTTTCTACTAGTTATGTCTTACTGTTATTACACTTACCTCAACCAAGAGGGATTAAAGAATAATGGCAAAGTAATTATCAATGAATGACTCATTATTTTTGGAACTGAGAATTGAACTTGGAACCTTGTGCTTGCCAGGCAGGTGTCATGCTGCTGAGCTATACCTTGGCCACTTACAATTCTTAACATAAAGAAAAATATTAAAAATATTAAAAGATGTCATTATTAAATGAAAGCTCTATTCGTTCTTTTGTGATATAAAGACCACATGTAGAATCCTGGTATGGTGAAACAGGCTCGCAACTTCAACACTCTGAAAGGTTGAGGTGAAAGGTGAAAGGATGGTGAATTCAAGCCTAGCCGAAGTAGCTTAGCAAGACTCATCTCAGAATTTAAAGTCTGGGTCAGGTTGCTGCTGGGGTTAAGAATACATCCGTAAAACATACATACATACATACACACACACACACACACACACACACACACACACACTATTATTATCTGCTTTAAAATTTTTCCAGGTCTGTTTTTCATAATGATAATCACTATGTATTCTCTCTCTCTCTCTTTTTTTTTTTTAAAATTTATTTATTTATGTGTGTGTGTGTGTGTGTGTGTGTGTGTGGCCAGCTCAGCCCACCAGGGGGCGGGGCTGGCTGGCATGTGGTGCTGGGGGATTGAACCGTGGTCCCTGTGCTTTGCTAAGCTTGTTCCAAGTAGGTGCTTTAGACCACTGAGCCATCTCACCAGCCCTGTATTCTCTCTTAATATGAAATCCAAGAGGCCCACTTGAACTAGTATTTATCTAATTTTAGAATACAGGAAAAAGACCCTTAGCTGGGCATGGTGGCACAGCCTGTAACTACAGCTACTAAGAGGCTAAGGCAGGAAGACTACAAGTGTGAGGCCAGACTGGACAATTGGACAACATAATATGATATGTCTCAAATAAAAATTAAATTTAAAAAAGGGCCAAGGGTGTAAAGCACTTGTATAACCATGTGCAAAGCCTTGAGGCTATCCCCTATACTGTTAAAAAAAAAAAAAAAAAAAGAAGAGAGACCCTTTAACATAAAAATTATCTTATTTTCATATACAGACACTATTACTTCCAGTTTTTCAATGGTAAGTATCAAAAGAAAGTCATGACTGCCTGGCAAATACTAGGTCCTGAGTTCAAGCCCTGGTACAGCGAACGAAGAAAAAGAAAGTCATGAAAAGAAGGGCTGGACAGGGGCTGGAGAGATGGCTCAGTGGTCTAAAGCACCTACTTAGAACAAGCTTAGCAAAGCACAGGGACCACAGTTCAATCCCCCAGCACCACATGCCAGCCAGCCCCGCCCCCTGGTGGGCTGAGCTGGCTACACACACACACACACACACACACACACACACAAAAAAATAAAAATAAAAATTAAAAAAAAAAAAAGAAGAAGGGCTGGACAGATAGCTCAGTGGACTAAAGCACCTGCTTAGGTAAGAGTGCAGCAGTTGAAATTTGGGGTTTGATCCCCAGTATGCTGTGCTGGCCCCACCCCCAGGAAAGGCTGAGACGTGATTGAGATGGCATGGTGGTGCACGCCTATAATCCCAGCACTTGGGAGGCTGAAAACAGGAGTATCACTCTGAGTCATATCTACATAGTGAGACCCTGGAAACCCCTTCACTAAATACATCAAAAAATAAAAAGACATGAAAAGAAAGCTGTGGCAAGGCAATAAACCTGTATCACCTAGAGACATTTATATGTTATCTATTAAACTTAACAAACATGAAGTCAATTTAGTCTCTAGGATCTTTTAAGAATTAGATGGTCGTCAAACAGTTTCCTCACTATGTTTTAAGAAATTAAGTCAATCAAAGAAATTAAGATAAAAATGAGACAAAATTTTATGGTAGAAATTGTGATACACTATGTGACTGGAAATCTCTTTTAGAAAACAGAAGAGATCTTGAACTCAGGCCCTTGCACTTGCCAGAGAAGCACTTATTCCACTGAGCCATCTCCCCAGCTCCCAGAAGAGATCTTTTATTTTTTAAAAATTGCAACACTAGTCACTGATTATTTATTTGTTTTTGCAGTACCAGGGATTGAACTCAGGACCCTGTGCTTGCCAGGCAGGCACTTATTCTATTGACCTATCTCCCTGGACTAGTCACTGATTTTTTTACATAACATTTCCAAATACAACATTCACTGTGTAATGCTGAATTTTCTAAACAGACTCCTTAGCATCAAGTTAACTAAATATGAGTTTAAGAACATAAAACATTGTTCTTTTAGAGGAACACTATTAAGAAGTCTTATTTTCATTCCTAACTTAGAACTTATAAGTACATACAATTAATATTTAAAATCTCATAAAATTAGTTTTTTCTATAATCATTAAATTATTAAAGGAAACACTTACAGGTTGCTCTGGTAAATCTTGTTCTTCTTCCATGGAGACCACTATTACTTTATTACACCTATGGGACTGGATTCTGAGTCTTGTTGTGCAGTCTTCACAATCTGTTTAAGACAGGAGGATGCAAAGCTTTATATACCCTTAAAACATAATCATTGAGGTCATCAGAGAATAATTTTTAAATATTTTGCTACACCAAGCTTTTTATGCTAGTTCAAATCTCAAAATCTCAAACTTGCACGTGGCTTTTGAAAAGTGACATGCTGCACCATGTCAAGAAAGGAGTACACAGTGACTTTTATAATACCTTGCAAAAGCCAACACGTGGAACCACTTCTGCTGGTTACTATAGTGCCTAATGCATTAAACATTTTACAGTGACAGCCATGTGCAGATAATAAAACAGAAAATACTTTGCGGATTAGAGTTACATTTAAAATGACAGAGACTGGCCTAGCCAGTCAGTAAGTTATGATAACATCTAACCTGTTTTAATGTGGAACATTTATATAACTGTTACAAAGACACACAGAATCACTTTAAATAGGACAAACTAGAATGTCAATGAACTACATTCACAACCGTCTATATATAAGCAATTTAAAGGGAAATGCAATTCTTCAGGATTTTAAAAGAAAAATAAGTGAAATGAAACATTATATATTAGAATTAAGGAAAAGTAATCATATAAATCTAGGCCCCAGTTTAATTCTGAAATAAGCTTCCACTAAATATACTACTCAGTCAAATTAAGCAAAATATTCTTCTTCTTAGCCCCCATTCTTCCTACCCAGATTTTTGAACAAAAAAAGAAAAATAGTATATGCTAAGCCTCACATTTACTTGTTTGATACCTGTTCTATTCTCTGCTGGAAGGAGACAGATAAAGAAATTTTAAAAATAAAAAAATTTCATTTTTATTTAAAAAAATGATACCGGTTCTTTTCCCCAGCAGATAGGACTGCTTATGCCATTAGAGTCACACCTGTGTACATTTCTTCTGCCAACTATTATACCCAACTTAACATATGAGTATAAAGCTTAGGTATAAAATCTCACTGGAAAAACAATGAAAACAGATAAATAATATGAATAGGAAAACAAAAAATTTCAACTGTGCAAGTACTACTACTACATACTTCTATTACTGTTTTGGTGCAATACATTTTATTTTAGAGCCATACTCCAGTATGGAGAAAACACATGTAAGGAAAACAATTTGATGTAAAACTCTGACAGATAACAAAGCCTTGCTCCATTGTCCTGATCTATATGTCAAAAGAAAAAAAAAGTTTAAAGATCAGAAGCATTTGCTGCTCAACGCATTCACATGTAGCTCATACAAAGCCTCAAAAGATGAGTTCTCCTAAGACACAATGCAGGTAACTAGTGTTGCAAAATTACAAGAGGCAAACACTTACGCTCACAGGCACTTAGTTTTGGTCAAATCAGAAAAGTACAGTCAATGTGACCATGAAACTGACTCACAATTGTGAAAAAGGTAAAAACTATTTTTTGTTTTACTAGTTTATATTTTAGTAATTGAAATGTGTAAGATTATAGTACTGCCTAAATATATGTTATGTACATATATAATTTTAACCTATAAACAACAGCAAAATAGGACCACATCATTAGGAAATGTAATTCTCTTTAATAACTCATTTGAGAATTTTTGTGAACCAACTCTTACCAACACAAAAAGTAGTAACATTCTGTTTTCTTCCATTAAGGGGCACGAATGCTGCACTGCAACTCATGTACAGTCTTAGAGGAGAAAGGATTTCCTTTAAGTATTTTGCTCAATTTGACTGAGTAGTAAATTTAGTGGAAGCTTATTTCAGAATTAAACTGGGGCCTAGCTTTACATTACTTTTCCTAAGTTCTAATATTTAAAAGAAATTGAAAAAAAGGGATACTTAATAATGTGCTTTAATTTTGTTTTTAAACACAAAAACTAATTTTAAAAATCTGAACAAAAATTTTAAAACAAAATATTTTATAGGTCAAAAAGGGTCACAGGTTTTAAAAAGCAAGGAATACTATCTGAATAGTAAGGACACTAATGTTCAAGTTACATAAAACTAAATAATAAAAGCTTAATTTATGACTGGTATAGTGAAGAGCACATATAATAATGCCAGCTACTCAAGAGGCTGAGGCAGAGAAATGAGAAAGTCTGATGCCAGCCTGGACAACATACTGAAACTCATCTCAAAATTTAAAAAGAAAATGCTTGAGAATATAACTCAGAGACCCCTGAT